CTGTATGCATCTTTTTGCAGAAACCTAGATACAGGACTTTTAAAGTATCTGTTTTGTTTAATGAATTTAGCTACTCTCATTATCACATAGCAGACTAGGATGCTACACTGTATTAAAAAAAAAAAAAAAAAAAGTTTCAGAATCAGTTTCGCCAGAGAAAGGCAGGACTACTGGGTGGGTTTTGCACCTTGTCAGTACAAACTTGTCTGGTATCTTTTCTCCTGAGGTGCAGCTGTAGTATTAAATAGGAACTTCACTCATCCACTGTGGAAAGAGAGACTACAGATAGATAATCTACAGGTTAAAATTAGTAAGGGTGTAAAAATCCACTATAAAAATCATTTGCACACTAGTCAACATACAAATCAGTTTTACACTTCTCAAAATCCTGGAGGATGATTGAAGTTTCCGTACTTCTGTGACTGAGAGACAGCTAGTTTGCTGGTGCTTTTCTTATGCAAACTCCATCACTGACTCTTTTTAAGAAAGTCTTGTGATTCATTTACTGTTCCATTCCCACCAAAGTAGATACCTGGGTTCATAAAACTGTCTGCTACGTAATAATTTTTGCTATATAAGATAAAACCACTATTGTGGTAAATCCACTGCAAAATAGGATCCTGAGAAGTGCTAATGAATCTCTTGCCAAACTGCTTAAATCATAACGACTTTGTCACAGAACATCATATGTTTATAATCTTGTTATGATACTGAAGTCTTATACAGCTGCTTTTTTTGTAATACTTTTGTAGGCAGTTTAAAGCCATCTGGTGCATGTATTTCAGGTATACATGATTTAAAGCAGAGGGTCACAAATTCTTGTTGTGACTAACAGGCACCTTCAGCAAACTCATGTTTTCTCAGTGTATGACACGAGTTGAAATGGAATCATATCATTATTTACTTGTACATGATGATGATATATGATGTTCCCAACAGCCACACGAGAGCTGCTGTTTAAGTTTGTTATCTCTTAATATTTGTATCCTGAAACTTATATAAATGTTGGATTGATCTCCACATAAGCCAAAGATTGATACAGAGCTTTGGATCTCTTCTAAATGTAACTTCCCCTGTGCTTTTATAAAGCCCAAGTCTTTAACTATAATTCTAGTAAGTAGATATAGGAACAAGCGATTTTTATCTCCTGGTTACTTAGTGGAAAGCTTGCATTTGGAGATCATCTTATTAAAAGACCAGTGATATATGGATTAAAAAGATTAGAGTAAAGGTTTCACCCGTATTTTGCTGCTTATTAATTAAAGGCCTTAATTTGCTTATAGTTTACTTTTTTAATTCCATGTTATGATTGGATCACTGTAGTATTTAGAAGCTGCAACCAAGATCAAGGCTGCATTATATTAAATTCTGAAAACCACATAGTAAAATGAAGCCTCTACTTGGCAGTTGAACTAAAACAAGATCCACAGGGACAGGGGAGGGAAAGAAGTACCTTTCCTGCCTGACTTAATTTATTTTTCTATGGCAGAGTGACTTGTTCAAGGTCATAGAAGAATTAAATTTCTGTATTGGTGAGCAGGTGGAAAAGAAAGAGGATGTTTAATCTGCACTTTCATGTGCAGTTTTTTTACTCATTTCCTATGGAAATAAGTCTCCTGTGATCATGTTTGTGCCTTTCGCTCCCTTATTTCCTCTCCACTCATAACTTTTGGATCCATTGATTAATAAAAACAGATTTGAAAGAGGAGTTAAAGCCTTAAATAGAATTGTCTTTCTACAAATGTTGCAAAAGCAGATGCCAGGAAAAGGGAAGAAGAAACCATCTGAATACCCTTGCTATGGTAAAGCTGCAGCCCGAGTTCACATTCACGAGAGAGGAACTACATATATTCACAACCATGGAAAAACTATGTCAGACTGGCTCTCTTCCTATTTCTCTATAGGGCTCTGGAGCATAACACACAGTTGTCCATGCTACATACACAATTTGGCTCCGATCCGCAGTGAAATCAGCAGTGTTCTTGGGGAGGAACCCTGGTGCAGAACAGAGGCTACTTTTCTGCAGCTTCAGGACTTGCACCCTACAAGCCAATGGAGATAAACTGATCTACAGCTTGCTCAGGGATGGGGTTCATTCCTTGGTGCAGATCATAGAGGTAGCATAGATGTAATCATAGCAGAACTTGCACTTTTCAAACAAAAGATGCTGATCATTGGAAAGTCAGGCATATCTGTTCTGATGATTGTGGAACCATTTGTTTAATGATAATGTTGTTCTTGAATACATATGGTAGGGAGGAGGAAGAATTCCTTTGGGAGGTCTTTGGAAACCTTTCTCTCAAACTGTAAGTCACTGGATTGTTTCTTTTTAGGAAGGAATTGGTACATCTTGCATCTTTGATTTTATGCTAATTTTCCTTCATATGGTCTGTTTCTCTTAAGAGCCTAGACTGTAGTTCTGCAGTGTGTCATGGTAAGCAGCATGTAGATTAGTGCCATGTGTTGAAGTTGGAAAGTTTCTTCACTTTTTTTTGCTTGGTTTGTGGCAGCTTGTATTAAATAGTTTTCCCCTCCCCTTTTTTCTCTGTTGTGTGGTTAGGAATTGCTTTATTGCTTGTGTATCCTGTGGCAATGTTTAATATTAGATGTTTGGCCATATGTACTTCCCTGAAATCTTATGCCCGTTTTCATTGATGGGGATTTCCTGGGTGCTCACATCCCTTTCTTTTCTATCTTCTCCCCAGCTACATGTCTTGGATAATCACAGAAGTGTTATGGTATAAACTGTGCAGTGTAACTTTAGTTATGAGACTATTTGGCCACTGTCAAAGACTTTTGCTCAACCACCTTGCAGTGAACTTGAGCACAAGTGCCAAACACGGTAGACTATTAACTTCATGTTATTTATCATTCCTCCTAAGGAATTCCATCTTGCTATTCCTGACCAGTGAGTTTTATGTGTAGTGAGTGGGGTTTTCAACCTCAACATAAGCAGTTTATGTCTATTCTTTATTTTTTCTTCCTCATTGATGATTATGTCTCCTTATAATTAAAAACATCAATCATATCCATTCCCAGCCAAATTTTCCTAGACTAAATCAAGCTCTTCTCATATGATGACTCTTAATTCCTCTGATCATTCTGATAACTCTTTCCACACTTTTTTTGTAGGAAGATTAATTTAAACTGGTGCCTGGAACTGTACTCAGTATTCCAGAATAGGTCTTGTCAGGGCTTTATAGTATATGACTACCCTTCCTGCTTCTGGAAATTCTGTCTATAATATATCTAAGGCCATGGATCCTATGGCTGCTTCATGTTGGTTGCTAATAAGCCTGCTGCAATTGACTGGGTCTCTTTTGAGGCATACTTTGGTGAGCTTTCTTTGATTTTTTAAACTGTGTTCCTGTAGTTTCTTGTAGCTAGTGTTACATGACTGGAGGCACTCTGTCCAGGCCATATGGTGTGAAAGGCTTGCCTCCAGGTATTAAGGATGGAACTTCTATGTTCCAGCTACTTTTTGGAAGAGGCAGAGTGTGAATGCTGTCTGTATGTAATACTATTGACAGTATATATAAGGCAAAGGGTGTTTGTCTGGTTTGGGACTGTTTAGTTTGAAGAAGGGAAGGCTAAGTGGAGACCTCATCACTCTACAACTACCTGAAAGGACATTGTAGAGAGGTTGATGCTGGTCTCTTCTCACAGGTAATTAGTGACAGAACAAGAGGGAATGGCTTTAAACTGCAACAGGGGAGGTTTAGACTGGACATGAGGAAAAAATTTTTCACAGAAAGAGTAGTCAGTCAGTGGAATAAGCTGTCCAGGGAGGGGGTGGAGTCACCATCCCTGGATGCATTGAAGGGTCGTTTGGATGAGATGTTGGGGGATACGGTGTAGGGGAGAACTTTGTAGAGTAGGGCTGATGGTTGGACTTGATGATCCCATGGGTCTTTCCAACCTGAATAATTCTGTGATCCTCTGCCCCAAACGTTTATCCATTTTAGCACTGTAAATAGCCTAGTCTTAATGAAACTGTAAGAAATTTTCTTCAATCCATGGTAGACTAGTACAATGTACCTTTCTGCAGGCAGCAGTGCTGACTTCAGCGACTCCCATCCCACTCCTCTGGCCACTGCTCCAACCCTTGAGCGGGCCCTAAATGCTTTTCTTTTTCTTTGAGTCTAGATTAATTCCATGCTCTGCTTCAGCGCTTTCCCACAACGATTCACGCCAGCAAAAAGTGAATGGTGACAGTCTTAAATGAGTGGCTGGAAGAAGGTAGGATGGGGAAGGGACCACACCACCACTGTAGGAAGTGTCTGTTGAACCCTAAACTTCCATGGTCAGTACTCCTGCTGGGGGCTGTAAAGTTGCACGGAAGATGCTGCATGGGGAGCCAGTGAGGCTCCTTAAGTGAAACCAACTCCTTCACCAGTGATGTTGACGTTTGGCTTAATAGGTGTGAGCTGAAGCAATAGGTTCATGCTGTTAATTCCTTACTCGGGTATATTGAGGACAGAAAATTTCACGGTAATTTTCTACTCTTACCTCAATGGAGAAATAAACCAAAAATGCACACTCCTAAAATGAAATGGAAAGCATGTACTTCCCATAGGTTATGTATAGCGAGATGAAAACCTCAGTATTATTTCTGAGGAGCGGGACCTGCGAGTTCAGAGAGCTCCCGTACCGCAGCCTAAAACACGAAAACAAGAAAAAACTCATTTGCAAACAGATGAAGCCTGTACCCAAACACAGATTAGGCAGTATTTGGCCAACAAAATGGCTGTGGCTATAGGTGATCCAAAGGAGCGCAGCTGGAAGAAGTCGGGGGGAGGGGGAGCCCCGACACCGCACTCCGGGGCCGTTGCCGGGCCGCGCCGGGGCGGGGGGGCCGTGCCGCAATTACCGAAAGCGCGTCCCAGGGACTTACTGCGGGGCGCTGCGAGACGCGGGGCGCGCGACCCCGGGG